TTGCATATGTAGTGAAATACCTGAGGATTTTGCAAATTAAAAACTATAAGATTTCTGTCGGCAGTTCCCGCAACCATTAGAGGATGTTTCACTGCAAGTGCATAACAGCGTTCAGGAAGTTGTTGGACATGTGCTGGGTTGGGCTGCCGTAGATCCCAATACCTGAAGAAGACAGTAATAAAATTCCCCTCTTGAATCGACTAACTGGATAAATCCATTAATGCATGTGTGCAATGGAACACATTTTCAACAAAATGAAAGGTAAAATGCCTACACAGTCATATACAAAAACACGAAGACTTTTAGACCAAACATTCCCAATATGTCCCACTCAGAAGTAGGATCTAAAGAGGGTACAATGTACGCATAATCTGCAGATTTGTCCAACGAAATCATTAGAAACTTGGACTCTAGGAGTATTTAACTTATGCAGCAAAATCAAAAAAAGAGGTTTATTTGAGCGATAAGATAAATAAAATAGGGAAACGTTACATGTCTATAAGAAGTAAAACAAGTTAATAAAATAATTCCGAAGGAGTGTCTTCTTTGTGTTAAAATTTTGAAAAATAAATTAGCTCAATTCCAAAAATAACTGAAGTTTTTTTCCAGCCCCTTCAAATCACTAAAAAAAGTTGCTCTAAAAGAGATTATTATTACTAACCTCAGGGTTTTATCCCAGCTTCCAGTGACCAAAAGGTTCATCTCAGGAATCCAAGCAACCTCTTTCACAGGAGCATCATGCATGGCAACAGTTACTGGTTGATTAGTAGCGAGTGGCCACATCTTTACTTGCTTGTCACAGCCTCCAGAAAAGACTGTAGTGCCATCATCCTTCCACGTGGAGCACAAAACCTTCCAAATTTTACATTAAAAAAAACAATTAACCATTTGGTGAAATCAAAAGAATACAGCAGAACACTTTTAGAAATATGTGACAATTGATATAATACCGGTTGGTCATGTGATATAGATGCCTTTGGCGTTGTACCAATATTCATTCCACTTTGCATTACTTCCCAACAACGTACCTAAGAAGGAAATGCATGCAAATTAGTTCTCACCTTACCCTTGGGCATGTGGGCCGTGAATGAAGCTTATGCTTGAACAAGAAAAAGAAAACAAATATATAATTAATAGCTAAAGAAACTTTTGCCTTTTTAATGAAGAAGATTAAATGAACCTGATTGTCCCATGATGTAGCCACCAAGAAGTTTGCCTTGGGGCTAAAGCAGAGGCTTGATACTGAGTCACTGGGAGGTTGCGCTACCTTCATTCACCATACCGTACATTAACAAATGTAGACACAACTCAAACAAACACTCATTGAATTAACGCTCATAACTCGATACCTCACTGGACTTATTAGGATTTGTATTTGCCGTAGTAGATATTCCAAATGCCGACATTGAAGCTGGTTATGAACTGAAACCAACCAAGCATAAATCGTTGTGTAAACTGATAATTTGAATTCTTAAAAAGCACTTCCAAAATAAAAGTTTGAGGCATTAACGAGACTTGCGTGTAAATATAAACTATAAGATTGAGTAACATACAATCTGTTATATGGAATAAATACTTATATACTCCGTATTTTGATAACAACATTTAGAGTAACAGAAAAAAATATTAGAGTAAAAAATACTCCACTTGTCCCGGAAAGATCTTCCCAAATGCCCTTTTTGTCCGGTAAAGATCTTCCAATTACATTTTCTAACATTTGAAATACCACAACTACCCTCACTCTATTTATAACACCTCAACCACCTCATTTAATATATTCCACCCACTTTCATAAGCTTCTACCCTTTTTCAACTATCCTTAAAAATCATAAAAAGTCAACTGGAGAAGAACTTTACCGGATGAAGTAACAAATTTAAAACTGGAATAATGGGTAAAATATGTTTATAGTCCTATTAATTCATATATGCTTGTTATTATCTGAGCTTTTAGGTGTAATTATACTTACTTAAAGTATGACTTGTCTCATAACAATTCTTGTAAGTTTGCTAAACACCCAAAAATGTTATAAAAAATCAAAGGTAACATATAATATGAAATTTCAAAAACAATTAAGTCTTGAGTCACTCACTTTCTTAAACAAGTAAATGGAAAATAAAATGCAACATTTTGGGAAATTCTATATTCCAACCAAGAGTAATTGTCAAACCAAAATGAAACAAATCTACATCTTTTTCTAGCTATTAACTTAAAGGGAAATTGATAATTTCAAGGTTGGAAAGGATCTTTTTTAGATAACTACAATATATTTCATCTTGCCAATTTGGATGATAATCTATAATTCTCTTCACATCGTTTGTCATACAATGGGATTCACATTCACTAAGAGCTTGTTCTCGCAATTGATATAAAGACAGAGAGGAATTTCAATTCATGTTAGACAGATTCACCATTGATCCGTGCTCTGTGAATCATGGTGTCTTTAAAATACATTTGCATCTTAATTTCAAATAATTTAAAGAACCAAAGTTACCTATAACTCGGACTTTACTAATTAGTGTAATAAAAAAACCTAATCCTTCATAATGTTCATGTAGAAATTAACTTAACAACAAATGACAATTTGATAGTTCACAAATCCAGAAATCACAAATTTACCTATCATAAATCACAATTTATAATTGTCTTAAAAATATGGAGTATTTAGGTTAATTGAACAAAATCCAAGAAGAAAAACTGATTTGAGATGGAAGATTTACCTGGCGGTTGGCGGCGGTCGCACGGAACAATGAAGGCCGGGAGTTAGCGGCGCTGGGCTATGGCGGAAGGATGACCCAGTTGGCGGCTTATCGGGATGCTGCGTGCGACGTGCCCGGAGCGGTGGCGACCCTGTTATTGTAACCTCTACGACCCCACCGGAAATGGACGCACCAGTGTTAGATACTTAGGTTTTAACGGTGAGTTGTGGAGGTGTATATATGTACGCACTACGCAGTATTGGGTTGCGGTGGCGACTCTGATAGCTTAACTTCTACGACGACTAAAACCCCGAAATTAGGAAGTACTAATACAGAATTAATATCAAAAATAATTTATAAAAAGGAGGAAATTAGATTGAAAAATACAAAAACGAAAAAAACATGGTAAAATATCGAATCGTAATAAATCAAACGTGGGGTGGTTTGATTTTTGGGAACGAAAGAGTCAACTCTTCATATCGAAAATGATGAACTGAATATGTATTAATATACTCTGTATTAGAAATATAACGATGTTATATATTTTTCATTAAATAATAAGTTTAGTTTTAAAAGTTTTTGTTCAAATTTTATTATGTGTACATTGTACATTTTTATTTGAGTAAATTCTATAATTGGTCCTTTATAACAGGGGGTTTCCCTATTTAGTCCTTTATTATCAAATATTATCCCAGTAGTCCTTCATTTATGAGTATCTTTCCACAAATAGTCCTTTTTTTGATCTTCAATCATGTTTGTGTTAATCTGAGGGCTAAAAGTGTAATATCACAATGATAATATATTTTTTTTGTCATACACAGTTCCAAAGGTTGTTCAGTTTGTGTCATTTGTGAATTACAGTCGCTTTCTACTACAACCATAGTCTACAAATGTGGTCTTTCGTCTGAATTCTAGTCCACAATCATAGTCATTATTTTTGTGTTATTCGCTTAACCAATATCAGAACACGTCACTAGATATAATGTTGATGTCAAATTATGCTTTTAGCCTTTAAATTAACACCAACTTGGCAGAAGATAAAAAAAAGGATCATTTTTGGAAAGACATCCTTAAAAAAAGGACTACGGAGGTAATATTTGATAATAGAGGACTAAATATGGAAAACACCATGTTATAATAGACCAATTATGGAATTTACTATTTTTATTTAGGTTCCACTTTTTTGTAGATGAATTTAAAAATATTAAGACAAATTTGAAATACCAATTTGTTATCATCCATTCATTTTAGTTTATTAAATAAAAATTAAATTTCGTTTGCATTTCTTGCATTTTATTTTTCATTTTTTAGTTTTTTATGTTTTTTTATTTAAAGATATTTTTTATTTTTCAAATATAAAGGGTTTTATGACGTTTAAAGTTTAAATTAGGTGCGCGTATGTGTTGCGTAAATTTAATGATATCGCATAATTATGTTATGTCTTTCCAAAACTTGTACACATATAATTCTTTGTTTGTTGATATTATATTTTTATTCAATGCAGAATATCGATGTTAATATGAATTTAATAATTTAAAAAATAAAGACTATAACCCGTTGAATCGATCAAAATTCGATGACAATAAGGAAGGTCTTTTCAATGTAGATTTCAAAAGATTTTTATAAATTCCTTAAAATAATGGATTATGTGAAATATGTATAGATTGTTTTAAATATACACAAAGTTAGATAGATTTTAAAATTTAAATTGGAACATCACAAGGGTGCGAATCAAAAAGGAGAGTACGAATTCAAAGTCCATTCAACCGATCCTATGAACAGAATGACTTCTCATCGATCTTTGCGATTTGTAAGGTAGCCGTATATCTCCGAGGCTAAAGTCTGCTTTAACACCCATGGCTGGGGCGATAGATTTGTGCGAAGATTTTTATTACTCTCTCCGTCCCAAATTATAATGTCTGTTCACTATTCACATGGTTAAACTTCATTCACTTTCTTTCTCTATTTTCGTTAGCAATTTGATGAAATAAAATATTGTTGTCACTACTAATTTTGTAGATTTTTCGATGTAGTATTTTGATATGTAATTTTTATTTTTAACACTATACCATTTGTCATATAAAATGATTTGAAAATAACTTCAGTCAAACATCGTAAACCAAAACAGGCGTTATAAAATGAGACGGATGTAGTAATAAAAAGAAGTATGAAATCCATCAAAATCTATCTACGATAAAAACCCTTTTAAATGTATTTTGACAGACGATTTAAAATCCAAACTAAATACTCTTAGATCTAAAAAAAAGTTTTTTAAAATCTCAATTGAATACCATTGACTTCTAAAATTTGAAAAAATCTCATAGAAATTGAATTGAATACACCCTCCTAAATCATGAACATGCAATTCTTAACCCGAAGCCGAATTTATTCAAACCCAACTCACCCATTTGCCAACTCTACAACCAATATCCGAAACCAACAATACACATCCCTTAAATTACCTCTACCGTCTTTCATTCTCAAAACCCAATACACAAATTTCGAAACCAGCAATACAATTCACATGCACATAACAAAGAAGCATCGGAGGAGGAAGATGATGGAGGGGTTTGTGGGCTCAAAACAACAAGGCCACCAAACATGCAGCGGCACTCAGGGTGGCAGCCACCGGGGAGGAAGCTGAGTTGACTTGGCTCGGTGACGGGGAGCTAGCAGCCGGCGCGGTGGCAGATGCCGCCGGAGTTACTGTTGGAGCAGAATTGATTCCCGGCGACGCCGATGGAGCTACAAAAACAAAAGACAAGCCCGTGTCACGAAGGCTTCGAGAGGTGCAGGGGAGGAGATAAACGCATCAGGATCAACTAGGGTTTCATAAAATCAGATTTGAGATTTGAAAACGAAATTGGGGAGCTTATCACAGTATAAAATTCAGTCAAGAGCAGATCTGATACGTACCGGCTGAAGGAGAAGGGAAAAATTTGCCGCTTGCTGCAAATTTTTTCATGAATCCAAAGCAACGAACAGGTTAGGGTTTCAGACATTAAAACATTGAAATCGATTGATTTAAGAAAAGGAAGACAGAGAATCAGATCCCGATTTCAATTTGAAACCGATTTAACAAGTTAGGGTTTCAAATTTTAAAGCGGAAATCCAAGTGATTGATTTAAGAAGAAGATAGACAGAGAGAGATAGAAAAGCAGATCTCACGGATGCAGTTCTTAACGGAAGGGGGGGCAGTAACATGGCAAGCAGTGGGGAGAGTCACGGCCTTGGTGAGGTTCAGAGAAACACCGAGCCCGGCGCTGTTCTTGAACTCCTCGCACAGGCAATCCGGGTTTGCTTTCAGCACCGTTTTCAGCCCGGAACAGCAGGACATAGCCGGCTTCGGGACCGTGCTGCCATCGGTGACGAAAGAGAGACAATCAGCCAGGTTCATGATGACGCTGCTGCAATCCGCCGCCGGCGCCGGCGCCAGATGATGGGCCGAGTCCGCGGCGATTGCCCACACCGCCAGGATGCCCACTGCCAGGGAAACGATCGAGTTCAAACCCAGTCCCATTTCTCCAGTGATAGCGTGAAATCCGCAGTTCCGCACAGAGGAATTTTAGGACGACGACGCTGGACAAAAAGAAACGAATAGAGTGAGATGTGGCCGGCGGGGGGCGGTTTTATATTGTGAAAAAGACTAAATTGGAATAAAAGATTGGTGGTAAATTCTTTGGTTCACACTTATATTATGAACTCTGGCAAAATTCCAAATTCAAAATATACTAAGATAGAAATTTCATATTCTGTTTAATTTATCTCAAAATAAGTCTTAAAATATATTTATATAGTCAATCATGATTATGCATATTACCAAAAGATATAGTGAAATATCTATGTACAGTGTCATATTACCATAGTGCGAACTTCTATTTAGGGGATAAAAATATATAGCTTCTGATGGCGATAAACCACCGAATATATTAAATACTCGTAATATAAGTTTTAAAGAGAGAGAACGCAAAGTAGGAGTATATTCACTTAGAATTTGGATCCTTTACAATGAGGGGTCTCACCCCTTTTATAAGGGATACAATACACTTAGTCAAATCCCTCTGATCGACGTTCGTCGCCTAGTGGATGTCATCAGCTTCTCGGTCTTGTCCCTTTCATCCTATCGCTATCGCGTGGTCAACATCGCCGATCGCTATCCTCTCGTCGCTTTCATGTTGCCCGAGCCGAGCCCGGGAGGTAACAACCGGGCTCGTAGGCCAAGCCGAGCTCGTAGGCCAAGCCGAGCTCGTAGGTCGAGCACGGCGGTACTCCACGTGGACGAGGGGGGCCAAGCTGACATCAACCTAGGGGTTACCCTCCATCAGCTTCTATTTGATATTTCCTCTCTGTCTTACTCATATTTAGGGTGATTTTTTCTCTTACCTACATAGAGACCGGAGATGGGTGAATGGGTCGGGCCGGTTGTGGTGTGGGCTTCCAAAATCATGTGAAAATGGTTAATGGAGGCCCACGTGGTTGATGATTTTTATCTCACAGAAGTGCACTTAGGTTTCGTTTGACATTTTTTACTAATGTAAATTATCACACTAACATCACAATAGCACAAATGTCGGTGCATACCTTTGGGGTACAAATTTGGATGTACAAATAGCTTAATCCTTCAATTATACACTATGACTTTATTGTTTTCATTAAAATAGTTGACACTCTTATTTTGATTCGTACTGAAGGATGAATCTTAATTGTATCTTAATAGCAACTTGTAATATCTAAAATGAATCAAATTAAATATAATTCTCCAAAGATTGTGCTAAAAAATGTCACTATTTGATCAAAAAAGTTCAAAATAAAAATATTTTTTAAGACTAGAGGGATTACATTTTGTTATTTAAAATTTTGAATAAAATGTTTATAAGAAATAAAAGTTTGTATTGATTTAGAAATATAAGTAGTCCGTACAAAATAAAATAGGCTTAGGACCTGCACAGAACTTTTTAGGTAGACAATGTCAGTATTTTAGTATTTTATTTACTCTCTCAAATGTGAAAATTGATTTTTTTTTTTAAGTTTAAGCTATGCTTTTCATTCGTTCATTTCAATTTTTTTTTTCTTTTTCAAAAAAGAATTAAAAAAAAGCTAAGTGAAATGATTGTATACGCGACATGATCGTGGATGTGTTCATATTTGAAAGCATAATTATTAGCTCCAATTACACTTTTAAAAAAAGAAGCTACAATTACAACCAAAATTATAATTATGCTCCTTGAAAATGATGGCTAACGCACTCCCATGCTTTTTATTGACAAAAATTGCCTGAAATTGTGATAATGACTCAGCTCGATAATGTATTGTCCACAGGGTCAACACGGTTCGGGACGTTTTGGATTTTTAATTCAAGATTTATAAAAATGGATGGGAATAACTCATGACACCGTTTCAAATTAAGTTACATGTTTACTATCCTCATAATCAAACTATATATATTTATTTTCGTTATTTATTTGATAAAATAATATAGCCTCTCACCACTTATTTCGTAAAGCTTTTGATGTAATTTTTTAAAATGTAAATTTTATTTTTAAACTATGCTACAATTCTCAAATAAATTATATTATTAATAAATTCGAAACAGCCTCCCTACTTCCGAGCAGGGGCAAGGCCTGTGTACACACACCCTCCCCAGACCCTATTGTTGTGGGATTCACCTGGGTTGTTGTTGTTGTTGTTGTATTAATAAATTCAATCAGACATCGTAAATTGAAACATGTGATTTAAATTGGCGCGGAGAAAATAATAGTTTCAATGTACTCCATAAATTTTAAATATATTATTTTAATTTTTTAGATTGTATACTATGAATCTGTTATGTAGATAAGTTCGATTGAAAATAAATCTCAACCAAACATGTAATATGATACGGAGTATTAGACAAAAAATCAACCATGCTGGTGTACACCAAAGATTTGCACCGAGATAACACACACTGGCACAGAGTGTCAGTGCAAAAGTTTGTGAGCACACTAACATTTTATGTCAGTGTGTGTCATCGTGAGTGTTGGTGCAAACCCTTGTTGTACAACTTGGCATACACCAGTGTCATGGAGTCCTGACTTTGTTGTTCCGCTCTTGTTGATGTAAAGATTTATTTTGTTTGCCTAAAAAAAGATATGCAAAAATATTCACTGAGTGGGTTTGATGAAAATATTCATTTTGTACTTCATTTGATCGTGTTTTAAAGTTTTTTGTAACCAAAGACATGGTAGCAACCATTGAGTGGGTTTGATGAAAATCATTTGCCACATTCATGTCCTAAACACAGTGAATGGTTTTATTATCAGTGACAATACATGGTTAGCATGTCCTTAATCACAAAAAGCTTTAAAACACAACCAAATAAAGTGCAAAATGATTATTTCGATTAAACTCGCTCAATGAATACTTTTGTCTTATGGAAATCGAACGCCATATATGATTTTCTTTTGATTTTGAATACATATATAGCTCAATTGATTGGCAATGCCCATCGATATACCAACTCCAACACAACCCCACATGAACACTTTGCCCATCCTACTTTTATTTAGGCGTTGCACCCGCCTACGAGTAAATTGATTTGAATAATTTCTAGAAGAAAATGACAATTTTTTTTATCAATATTTACAACATGAGCTCTGATAGTTCTCGCATCCGTTTTCCTTCAAAAAGTTCTCTATGCGTTGAACTGCTTTCGAGCCTTCTGGTCATCAATCGCAGGATGAAAGGCCTTCAAGTCGTCCTAAGATGGGTTTCTACCGAAACTTTAAAGTAGCTAGCTCACGCAAGGCGATCGACGACCAGAAGGGCTGAAGCAGCTCAATGCAAAGAGAACATTTCGAAAGAAAACATCTGAAAATTATAAAAGCTTATGTTGCAAACATTGACAAGAAAATGCAAGCCTTTTTAGAAACTATGTCAATCAATTTACTAGTAGGTTGGTGCAGCGCCTTAATAAAAGCCGAGCAGGCAAAGTGTTCATATGGGGCTGTGCTCGAGCTGGTATATTGATAGACATTGGTGACCGACTGAGCCATAAGTATTCAAAATCAAAAGAACAATCAGATATGGCGTCTCACCTCTATACGAAGACAAAAGTATTCATTAAGTGGGTTTAAGGAAAGTATTCTACATACCAACCAACCAAACATCTTGACTGCTACTAGTTCTAGACTTCTTTTACTTGCTACTAATGGTTGTTACTTTAGTATGCGTTTTGGACTAGACACACAATAACAGCCACACTATCACGCCTTCCGCCAGTTTGGCCGATGTATCCAGCCGCTTCGGCGGCATCGGAAAATGGGCTCCTCTTCCTCCCGCTACCTGCACCGCCAACTTCTTGTGCTCTTGTGCCCAATGCTTCCGCGATTTGCTGTCACAATATTGGTTACAACTTACAACTTTGGATACCATATACTTCTTTTGTCTTACGACAAGGCTCCACACTTGAGACAGGTGGAACTTTGTGGTCCAGATAGGCCTATCAATGGCTCGAATTTAGACCTAAACCCGACCCAGACCCGATAACTATTTTGCAGAGATAGGGTAGATTTAATATTCGTTTGACTTGATATAAATGAACAATGATTTTAAATATTTTAATGAGATTGAAGAAATAAAGTAATGTATTTTTGCTTTCAGGTATTTAATTAGAAAGTAAAGATTTATAGTTATACTAAAATACACCATAACTTAGTATGAGAATTCATATTTGTTTATTAAAATAACATTTTTGTGTATTATTTTTTTTTTTTAAAAAATAATTATGTTAGAATAATACTCCGTAATATTGAATAAAAAATAAACTTCTTTAGTTTTTTTTCTAAACCAAATAACTAAATGTATAAAAAGCTTAAATACTTAAAGAATATAACTTTTTATATCATGTCATATATCTTGTAAAAATGCAATCTAAATATGTGTTGCAAAAAAACACTCAACCGCCAAGACCGAATAAGTCCAAGTCTACAAATGGTAGACCCGACGGGTCTCGGGTACATGTCGGGTTCAATTATTTTTTAATCGGTACAGGTCCGGAACCATCAGTCCCGATCCAAACCTGATCCATCGACATGCCTAGGTCAAGATTTAGGCAAAGTGATGAGGAATATTCCCTCTGTCAGAATTCAATTGCCCACTTTCTTTTTTCTGTTTCTTTGAAATAAGTTGTCCACTTTCCACATTCACGTACGAAAGTATGATGAATTGTATAAAACATATTAGAGGTAGGGTATGAGCATTGTTAGCAACGGCAAAATTGTTTTAATGACTTATTTGACAGTGTAAACTCATTTCTTAAAAAGAGTTTTTTTTAAAGTGAACAGCTAAACCGGACCGGAGAGAGTAATATGAACTACATGACTTAAAGAAAAGTGGAACCTGGGGTGTTTTGTTAGCTTCCAAAGACGAGGCCACAATTGATGTAATCTCTTGTGGATACAAATTGTCAAAAAGGCCATCAGTTGCAGTGACCACTACGTCCCCTTCTTCTAACTCACTTTTGTATTCCTGATTATTCAAAAAAAGAAAACAAAAGAGTCAAATGTGGTTGAAATCTGTCCAGAAGATAGAGAATTTGTGAGCCACATAGTTCTTTAATAAGAAATTAAGAAAGTATAAACTTTATTTTGGGACATTCAAAAGAGAAAGTGTGAAGTTTATTACAAGAAGGAGAAAGTATATACTCCGTATATTTTACTTCCCCCACCTCGATATAATTGTCCGACTCTCTTTTTTGGGAATTCAAGAGTTGGTTGTTCAACTCGAGTTTCTATAGTTGGAGAATATAACTACATACCTATAAAGGTATATTAGCATATAACAAACACTTACATTATGTTTGGTTCAAGAAATTTGAAAGTGAAAAGAAAAGAAAATGAGAAGGCAAAAGGAATTAAGAGGAGGGAAAACAAAAATTTTCCCATTTCGGTGAGAAAAAATGAGAGAAAACAATTTTTTTCATTTTCTTTCCTAATTCTATGAATATTACTCATAGAATTAGAGTAAATATTACTCCAACTACCTCGTTACATATAATATAGCAAACACGCATAGATGCATAGTGACAAGTTTTGTAAATAATGGCCAACTATTTTTTACCTGCACTATTCGGGATGGATCGCAATCCCTCCCTATTAGAATAGGGAAACTGAACTCATGGAGCATTGGAGATGACATTTTATAGACCACTCCATTCCTTATGATCATAAATCCAGAGTCTCCAATATTAGCCACATGGAGAACCTGCAAAACCATTTCTTTTTACCATGGCCAAACATGAATCTCTTACTCTAGTTCGTAGCAATTGCACGTGCTTTCTATGCTTTGGGTTTGGTTGGTAGTGAAAATATGTGTAAGTTAGGGATAAGATATGTCATATGCGTACATACACCCTACCTACTTGTGGGATATTACTGGGTATGTTGTTGGTGTGTCCAAACATGAATCTTGTTTTTTGGGATGAAGGTAATATTTGTTTTCATTGCATATTTACATGCTTATTGCAACCTACCAAACAAAACCTTATTGCAAGCCATTTTAGTACGCACTAGCGAAAACTATCATGATGTGAAAAACTTTTTATTTAATCAAAGAGGATTCGAGCGAAATTTGTACCCGGCCATCAAAGTGCACAATCAAAGCTGTAGAAGATCCAGGGGACTCTACTTTTTCTATGCTCAGTTCAAGAACAGCCTTAGGGTCAGTTGCTAAGTTCTGCAACACAGCCTTTTCACAGTACCGCATCAGTTCTATGGAATATACTCCTGGGACAGTACCTGAAGAGAAATGGACTGAGGGCCCGTTTGGTGATTACTCAAATGACTGTATTGGCTGAATGAAGTCATGTTTCGGCGATTGATTCTGATGGAACGACTGGTTGGTTGTGAAATTACCTAAAAGGGTATGTGACATTTTTTGTCGTTCGGGGCAAGACAAGAAAATAGGGCCAAATTGACATTTGCTTGTAAAAATGAGATTTTGTTGTTGAGAATCCAAATTAACCAAATGATGGGGCGCTTTGTGACTTGCGGAAGATTGTGGTAAATAATGATAACACGAATAGTATGCAAAAAAGTATAGAATTTTGAGAAGTACCTTCAAGAGACCACTGACCGATTCCATCAGCTAAACCAAGCCAGTTCTGATTCGTCATAAAATAAGCATCCACCCCACCTGTAAATGCCTGGGATTGATTATTTACTTTGCATAACATACTCCCATTGTTTGTCAAATGTTTGAGTTGATCTTTTGTCTACCAGGGGTGATGTTTTGAGTTGATCTTTTGTCTACCTTTGCTGGATGCGGCAATGAAGCAGCACCAGAAGATAGCACAAACTCCGGCGTCTGAATTGCGTCAATGCTGATAAATGACAATGCAAATGTGATTATTTATGTAGTACTAGACATTTTTACTAAAAGGGTATACATATACATTCCAACATTCCATTATGTGCATTCCAATTTTACAATATCATATTTGTGATGGAACATAACTATAACTATCTCATGTTGTTTATTGTGTTATTAACTGAGTTTATATCATCAATTAACACTAAATACTTAATGATACCGACACAAACATAGCTGGGATTAAGGTGCAAAAGGAAGAAGATGATGATGAATAAAATAAACCTATTATTAGGCTCAGTCCAGTCTACATCTTCTGTTAGTTCCACTTCCAGTAACATGTTTGGTGAAGGGTTGCCAGAAAATTGTCCTGTGTTATGATCCAAGTGTGCAAAATGGTCGCCGGAATTTTCCAACAATGGCTCATCTGCTTCCATGCTTCTATCTATATGTAAATGACTATTGCTTCTTTCACTCGTTTCTACTACTGAGTCAGAAAGATTAGTATCATTTGCAGCATAAGTTAAAATGTCATCATTCCTCTCCACTCTCTTAAGCATTTCTTCATGTTCTTCGTCTTTATCCCAATCTCCGTCCACCACATTAGAATCCTCCATATCTTTTCTACCGTCCACTTTCTCAACCTTGGATTCCACCAACAAACCCTCTTCTGCAAGCTCGCTTGGATCCCCAAATTGGAAGAGAAAACTGCCATCATCATGTTCTGCCCCAAATACAAATTATACTGATAAATAAGTGTTTCAACTTCTGAGGAAATATATATACTTCTCCTCCCCAAAAGTCGTTTTTTTTATTTTTAAGAAAATTACAGCTGTTTATATTTTAATGGAGTAAATTATTTGAAATAGTCAAACATAACTACTTGTATAATCTTTTATGAAAAATTCATGTCAATACTCTTGAGATTTTACAAGGATATGTTGGTCCTATAGAATAGTCTAGTCTACTTTGTATTTTCTTCTTTTCTATATATAGCCTACATGTACTCTATCTTGTGTCAACATGATACTCCAAGATTGCATTATTATCACCAACATCCCCAGAAATTCAATAATTTTTCAATAAAACTTCAAGATTGCATATTGATAACAGATAGGTGTCAGAATTTGGGGGGTCGATGTAACCCAAATATTCTCCTGGAGTATTCTTGTAAATGTGTTTTACTTTTGGGGTGATAGTTATCCAATCTTGGAGTATTTATGTAAAATCTCCAAATTATGGGAATATTAGCATGGATTTTGAGGTTTTGCCTAATTTTAAAGTTATTTGTTGGTTTAACTAAATTTGACACACACCTTTTTGGTATACAAACACTAAATATGATTGAAACTAGGTTCCCTTTTGTTAAAAAAGAACTCTTTTTGGCACTAAAACTAGGTTTTTGAAGTAATCTCTTTTTTTTTTTGGAAGGAGGGAGCAGAGCAAATTAAGAAGACAACAAACTCAACTCATCTATAAAAACCCAAACTTTCACTGAATAGACTGATGGATTAAACTTGTAAAATGGAAGAACAATAACAATACTGCAAAAAAAAGGATGGGTAAATAAGGGTACCATGAGTTGAGATGATTTCAACAACAACTTGGGAATCGGGTCTGCAAAAGAATGAGATTTGAGGGAGTTTTCTTGTTCTTCTTCTACAATTACTGCTACAGCTTCCAGCTTGGATGGTTCTTGAAAGAGCCGGGAGTGGGAGAAATGGCTTGGAATTAAAGAAGAGTGCAGAATTTGAAAGGAGATCCGCCATTGGGTTTCTTCTCGTCTCTTTAGCAGCTCAGCTAACTCTTGCGGAGTGGATTCTTACTCTGTTATTCATGTCCTCCAAACGCCATAGCACACATATTGAAAAAATGAGAGAAGACAACTCCACAAAAACGGTTTGAGGCATGTTAGATGCTATCACTATTAGTAATCTGCATCATTAAAATTTTATCTAAAATATTAATGTTAATCTCTAACACTATTCCCAAACTGGCTCTCGAACCCTCAGGCCCTGTTCAACACTTCAACCCTCATTAATAAAAATTATAATTTTATATACTCGGTATTTAGAGAAACATATTTTTAAAATAAATACGGAGTACGAAGTAAATATTACTCATTATATTTTTCTAAAAAATAAAATATTATTTTTGGTAAAAATTTGAATGAATCCAACTATATTACATTTGTATTCTAGGACTTAGAGGTAATAGAAACCTTAAATCTAAATAATCAAATTAGAGAAGAGAAGGTAAAGAGGGAGAGAAATAAAGAAAATGGAACGTGTATGATTTAGGTTTAGAATTGTCTCTCTTTCATTGGTCTCCCTTCCCAAAGTGATGGAAGAGAGCATTTATAATACTCCCTCCGTCCTAAAACTTTCTTACCTGAGCATTATTCCAACTTCACAGGAATTTATATTTATTTGTGTTTTTCATGGCATATATGATAAAATAAAATATTCTTGTCACCACTTGTTTTGTTGAACTTTTGATGTAGTTTTTAAATATGTATGTTTTGTTTTTTATTTCTATACCAATATTTAAATAAAATAGATTGAAAAAACTTGAGATTTTTCTTCGTTTTGCGCAACAGGAAGAAAGATATAGGACGGAGGGAGTACTACAATGTATCATGAGTCTTTACTCAAATAAGTAATTGGAAAAAAGACTAAAATAGAGGTAAACATTAAAAATATATCAAAATAAAAGCTTCGTGTTTTTATTCCTTAAATTGGAGTTAAAATACATTTACAGTATCAATAATGAATATATATATCACCAAATAGTATTATGAAATGTCTATATGCAGTAACAAATTATCATAATGGAAACTCCTATTTTTAAATAAAAACATTAAACTCTTATTTTAGTACTTTATTTATGTTTTACTCATATTTATGAAGATTTCTTCTTTAAATAGTTTAACTTACTAAGCGAATGCTGAGAAGCCTAAATCCAAACGAGGATGGGCCGAGCTCGGGCGAGATGTGGCTAAGCTAAAACAAGAGAGGACACATTTAATTTTACGAATAGAATATCATAGGTCCTTAAATTGAATTGGTGTCAAGAAAAATTTTTGGCCAAGCCACCCATGATATTAAGAACGATATTCGAATCATAAAATATGGACTAGCTTAGGCTATCCAAATATTTACCTGAAAAAATAAGTTTAAAAACGAAAAAATAGTCCGTATATTCTAAACATGAAATAATCGTGAACATAACCTCATAATTATAACGGAATTTTTTTAGAGCACGAAATCCAAAAGCATTATACATAAATTATATAAGTACTAAGGTCATTTCTCTTCGATTTATTCTTATTACTTGTTATTTTTTCTTATTGGAATTAGATCAAATCAGATCAGACTAGATTAAAAATAGCTTTAAATATAGTTATATTCATATCATATCAAATAAGATCAGATCAAAACTTATTCAGAACATGAAGTATGAAAACTCTAATCTTGAGTAAAGACTAAACCCATATTATATGTAATGAAATGTGAAGTACCAATAAAACCAAAAACCAAATACATGTTCATATAATCATCACCACCCTCTATAAGATTCAGATACAACCAGCTTTTGATCAATGAGAAATAAGGGGATAGTTGGAAGCAGAAGCACCAATTATCCGAAAAATCAACCAGCCTTTGATCAAAAAAAAGATTTTTTTATAAGTAATAATAATAGAAAAAGCCATTGATAAACAGTTTCTTCTTCCTCTTCTTCTACTCGCTGGTGCCGGTGGCCATCAAGAACTCACCCTCGCAAACCAGGTCGCCTCCCACATAGGCTTTCCCTTCCATCTTTGCAATCCCAAATCGCTTTTGGAGCTTGGTGAGTGTCATTCTCATCACCAACGTATCTCCCGCGACAACAGGCTTCCGGAACCTCACTTTGTCAATCCCTGCGAAGAAGAAATTGCTGCGCGAGCCTCCCACTTCCGGCTGCAGCATCACCACCCCACCTACCTGCGCCATTGCCTGCAACCCACCAAAAAAAACAATTGTCAGGTTGCAGAAAACAACCAACTGCACAAATACAGAGAGAGATGCCTAAAAAGCACTTCTCTGCTCATTAGACATGCGGCATTACTAAACAATGCCAGACAAAAAAAACTAATACGCCCTCTATCTTGGCGTATTTGTCCACATTCTTTTTGGCACATGGACCAATGTACAGGGGAAAGAAGAGAATGAAATGGTCATTCAATGCTTACTTTTACTTTTTGGATGAGAAATTAGTGTGTTAGGTAGTGCCACCCCATTTCATTTCTTTAACACTATGTTTGGTTCAAGGAATTTGAAAGGGAAAAGAAAAGAAAATGAGAGGGGAAATGATTTTTCATGTTTGGTTAGAGATGAAAAGAAAAGAAAAGTGGAAGGAAAAGAAAATGAGAAAGCAAAATGTACTAAGAGAAGGGAAAACCAAATTCCTCTCATTTTGGTGAGGAAAATGAGAGGAGACCATATTCTTTTGTTTTCCTTTCAAAATCTTTAAACTAAACATGGCATAAATGAAAAGTGGGCAATACATTAAGGCGGTCCTAAAAAAAATACTCCGGATAATGCACAGGAACTGAGGGAGTATATCACATTCAAGAGTAGGGTATGACGAGGCATGGCATGTGTATAACTTACATCTACTCTGAGAAATAGAGGTTGTTTATGAAAGGACTCTCACAAACAATGACCCATAGTGTGAAGAGTGAAAACACACAAACAACACACCACATCACATCTACGGCACTCACATACAAAGCCTGCAAGGACTCACATCTAACATAAGAACATGCATTTACAAACCCAAGACTCTTTAAAGCTTCTTTTTTGTACATTATATAGAAAAACCTCCACCTGAAAAGACCCATTGGCCTTGTAAACTGCTTTCTAATAAGATCAACACTATGCAAGCTCGAATCCACAAATTACAATGTGGGTTTTAATATCAACAAACTCAGTTGAATGGCACAAAAAGTAGAGTCAGACTCTGGCTCAACCACAGAAGTAGAGACAGCAAAATCACAAAAGCACACTAAAGATTGTGGTTTCTAATGATTCTATAGAAATTTCAATGGCAACTGAAGACCACAGTGCTAAAGATCCGAGAAGGTGAATTGTATACCTCAATCATGAGAACCCCGGGCATGATTGGCCTACCGGGGAAGTGACCATTGAAGAACTGGTCGTTAATGGTAACATTCTTGATTGCTACAGCTGAAACTCCGGGATTGTACTCAATTACTCTATCGACCAGCAAAAATGGATAGCTACAAAACAGAAGCCCCAGATAAATAACCAAACTATTGGTAAAGACCATCCAAGCAAAGATTGAATCTTTTTTAAAGCAAAATGAAAACCTTACCGGTGCGGCAGAATATCCATAATCTGATTGATATCGACTACTGTCGGAAATGATGGGTACCCTAAGGAAACAATTTGTTTTTTAGAACGAATTTCAAGAATTACTATAAAGATGGAAACTATTGAAACAGAAATTCATAAAGAAGGAATGCATACTCAATTCAATTGGGGTTTCAGTCTTGGTGGCCGGCGATCCAATGTCGGCCGGTGCACATCTGGCGATGAAACTGGTCTGGGTTGAATCGCATTGGACCGATATGGGGCGGAATTTCACGGGCAGCGATCGGTAAAAGGAGAGGGGAGGAGATTTGTGGACGATGTTTCCCTTGCGGGAGATTGGCGAGTGAGCGTTGAGGGTAGAGAAAAGGGAATGTGAGAGAGCAGTGGAAGCCATATCTGAAAGCTCTCTCTCTCTCTCTCTCGGATGCGTTTGAAGAAGACGAAGGAGTCAGGAGAATGGGTGAAAGAAAGGGAACGATGGGTTTAGTGTTATTGTGCGATGTGAGTGAAGGGGGCGATAGTTACTAGGAGAAGATTAGGTGTGGAGACGCTTCTTCAACTTCAATAAAACTTGAATGATATCTCTTAGCTGCATCATTAAGTTAAAAATAATAGACGAATTTAAGTACATAGCACTAAAACATAATGATTTTCTCTAAATAGCACTACATATGTTTTTTTTCAATGTAGCATTTTTAGTCATTATTCATTAATCATTATTCAAATAAATATTTGTCATCACTGGTCATTATGGACATTATTAAATGCTATTTAGGGAAGAAAACAATTTAAGTGCTATTTATAGAAATGACTTAAGTTTTAGTGTTATTTAGTGCAAATATTTCAAAAGAGGAATTTATGTAATATAATTAACATCATTCAAAAATATAAAAAGTGATCCTAAACTCTTAAACTCCAGTCGGATGGAGTTGAAGAGACTAGTAGAATGTAGGTGACATTTAATTTTAAAAAGGATATTGGTGGATGACTTGAACTACGATCTGACTTATAATACTTTTATAATTGTTGAATCGCCAAATTTTAAAGATTTGTATTTTTTGCGAAAAGACAACCAAGTAAATTGATATCATCTGAAATTTGACCCTAAGGATTTTACAACATAATACGTATAAAATTCGTAAATTCGTTTGGAGTACAAAATACGCACATTATACATTTATCACATGAAAAGTTTGTATTCAGAAATATAATACGTATATCATACATACGGGTGTATAATACACGTATTATACGCGAATAAGCTAACAGAGGTTACGAAGACATCCATTATAGAATATTTTTTTCGTTCCAATTAAAAGTTTCCACCTTAGTTCAAATCAATGTAGAGGAGAAAAATTGTATTATGAACCACTCATTTCATGCTTTAAAGAATAAGAACTTTATTTTTGAACAACTAAATAAAATTGAGAATTTTATTTGGAAAATTATGCTTGAAGACATCCATTACAAAATATTTTTTTCGTTCCAATTTAAAGTTTTCACGTTTGAAAAAATGAAATAAGTGAGTTAAAATCGATGTAGAGGAGAAAATTTTTATAATGAACCGCTCATTGCATGCTTTAAAGAATGAGAACTTTATTTTTTGTACAACTAAATAAAATTGAGAAATTTATTTTTTTTAAAAAAATATGCTTCTATGATTCTCAAGTCTACATCTATTTAAACTATAGATTCTCTCACATTTTTTCAGTGGCAGACAAGTAATTTTATTTATATTAAAAGACTCAACTCTTTCATAATATTCTTAAGATCCATAAAATAAATACGGATGACACTATGGGTGTATACAAATCAAATATAATTAATTCGATGCGTGATTCATATTTGAAAAAGATGATTCGTATTCGATTAAATGAATTTGATTTCGAATACAAATCTAGTTTTAGATTCGAATCTAAGTCGAATATGAATATGTATACCAAGAGGTATGATTCGTTTATAATTCAAATTATCTGTAAATTTTAAAATATAAATAAACAAAAAAACTATGTTATGTAGTACTTGTCTTTAGGAATTGTATTTTTAGACGCATGAAGGAAAAAAGAGCAATGCTAGGGGTACATCAAAATGTGTACCCCAAATGTACACCACCTCCTTCTCCACTACATATTTTTATTTGATTTTTATTTACTTATTTTTTTTAAATTTTTTTGCTTTTTTTAGTGGACAAGGAGGGAGTGAGGGATATATGGGGTACACCTTTAGTGTACCCTAGCATTTTTCAGGGAAAAAATATTAACGTTAGGAAAATGCTAGAGTCACAAACATTTGATTCACAAACTTCACAAACTTGCCTTTTGTGGATTTTAAATCAAAATATCTTTAATTATTTTAGGGCATCTTATTTCTAGAAGAGTGTTAAAAAGGCAAGTTTGTGAATTTTGTGAACTGTTTGTTTGTGACTCTAGCATTACTTAACGTTAACGGGTGTTTGGCAGATATGAAGCGAAGGTAGAAAGAGAGAAGTTTGGTGTAGCAGCGAAGGGAAGGGAAGGAAAGGAAATAAAGTGTGGAACGGTGTCGTTGCAGACCTGTTGCTGCGGTGGTTAAAGCCGCTGCGAGACGATCCGATCCACCGCCTCCCGATGGATTTTCGCATCTCCGGCGGCTCTCCCTCATCGTCTTCCACCTCGTCTACCGACCCTCACAACTCCTCAACGTCTCACCGTCGCCGCCATCAGAACGGCGGCGCCGACAACAATAGCAGCGACCCGATGCACTCCTGGTGGGAGTCCATTTCCAAAGCCCGTTCGCGCATCCAACTTCTCTCCAGTATTCTCCCCTCCGACGACCCCGCCGCCGTCGCATCTCTCGTCGACTCCGATCGCCCCGCCCGTTCTCTCCTCCTCTCCCACCCCGCTTACTCCTTGCTCTCCACTTCCCTCTACGCTCCCTCTGCCGGCTCCAGCGAAGATCCACTCTGCCACTGGCTGTACGACACTTTCCTCAGCGACGATGCCGATCTCCGCCTCGTCGTCATCTCCTTCATCCCTCTCCTGTCCTCCATCTACCTCTCCCGCGTCCACTCATCCTCCTCCACCTCCCCCACGCCATCTCTCTCCGGTTTCGAAGCCGTCCTTCTCGCTCTCTACTCCGCCGAAACCAAATCCCGAGCCGGGAAGCCGATACTGGTCTCAATTCCAGATCTATCCCAGCCTTCTGTTTATCACACTCCGAGAGCCCCGATTCAAAACAGACCGTCATCGATCCGGCCGGCCGTCGGAGTATTATCCCCTGCTCTCGAGCCACAGATCGCCGTGAAATCAACCAAACGCGCCTCAATCGTCGGAGTTGCGCTGGATTCTTACTTCAACCAGATCTCACAAATGCCCAGTTGGTCAAAGGTTGACTTTTGTAGGTTTGCAGCAGATTGGGCTGGCCAGGACTGCCCCTGTGTGTGGGAATTGGACGAGACTCATCACGGTAAATTAGAAAATCTGTTCTCAGACAATTCTAGGGTTCTCGACGGCCTCACAGAAGAACTCAGAAACATGGAGATTGAAGATAAACCAGGAGTCGATTCTTCCAAGGCCCGAATCCCACTGCCATGGGAGCTCTTGCAGCCAGTGCTGAGGATTGTAGGGCATTGTCTGTTAGGCCCTTTAAATGCAGAAGATGTGAAGAATGGGGCATCAGTTGCCGCGAAGCATTTATACGCAAGGGCTCAACATGACTTGGTTCCAAGGGCAATTCTGGCAACGAGAAGCCTCGTTCAGCTGGACAGGAGAGCTCGAGAGGCTGCCCGAGCAGCTGATGCGTCTGGTCCTGCATCAAATGCCACCACGCCAAGTAAAGCCAAGAAACCAGAGGTTCTTCTAGTTTCAAAATGAGTCATCAGACCAATTTATGTAAGGTTTTCAAATTCTGAATCTCTCATTAAATGTTTGTTTGTGTTGTAGGTTAGAATCTCTAAAGACTTCCAAAAAAAAGGAGTAAATTGTTCATGTATTTATATATATGTTCACATCATTATTTTTTTGGGTACTTCAATGGGAAAAAAGAACCACAATGCATAAGTACCTATTTGTTTGCTATGTGTTGGCTTGTTTTGGTTTTATCATTTTAAAGCCTGATGAATTTCTAGTTCTTGTTGTTCATAATATGTTCATTTCTTGATTTCTTGTCCTTGATTTCTCTTGTGTTGTTATAGTGGCTTGAAGATTATGTTCCCGTTATATATTGTCTCAGATGGAGTCATTGTCTGTCAAAAATCATTATCTGTCAAACACAACCTTAGTGTTACTCATGATTTGATTGTAGTATGACCCTTTTTCTAGAATATTGTTCATGTGGAGTGTGGAGTGTGAACAATTCAAGAATATTGAATTTGTTTCCCCATATATAAGAATTGAAGAGAGAATTGGAGGAGCATGTAAATTGTAAATAATGTAATGAAGGTCACATTCACACAGAGACTTGTGTAGTCTTTGATGGATGAATTTGCCAGAATTGAAGGCAAATCAGTTGTTTGTCAAATAGTACTCCCTCCTTTGTTCATAGATCTTTTCATTATGCGTTACGAAGCTTGACCGATTTTATTTTCAATTTAAATTATTTGATTTTAGTTGTAAAATTTAAAAATAAAATTATATCAGAAAAAATTATATGAAAGTTCTACAAAACAACAGGCGACAAGACTATACTACGTATGCAGTATTATTTTATGAAATGAGTAGTATTTGACACATTTATGGGTGACCGACAGAATAAATCATTTGATAAAATTTTTTTAACCCTGGACTCGGAATTTTTTTTACTATTCTAATATATTTATTCAATTTGACTTTTTCGAGCCAATCCTGAATAAACTTAAACTCTAAGTAATCTCAATTTGAATTGTGTACTCCGTATTAGTATAATGAAATAAACTTTTAAAAATTTTCAACAAGATAAATCTCATAAAATTATTTTAATACTAATATAGTACATTTTTTATGTTTAACTAAAGTTAAATTTCTCTTTGTTTAACTCGAAAAAATTAAACAGAACAAATACACTAGGACAGATGGAGTATATGCTAGTATTGGACTAGAATTTGGTATGATTTTGTTGTTTAATTTCTCTAGAATAATCACTCTATTTTTAGTTCTCTCTAGCTTAATTTCATCATTACAAATTTAATGAAGTTTAACATGGAGACTAAAGTTGATTAATGGATGGTACTATGCAACAACAATAATTCAGTAAAATTCTATAACAGGAGTCTGGGTTGAACTTGATGGCGGTGAGTCATGTGATATTTGGGCAATTGATTGTGGTTGCTACTTGAGGGACCAATATTGATGAATATGATACTTGAAGGATCAAAAAAGTAATTTTGGTAGAAAGTGATTTGATTAGAAGATTCAAAACTGATTTTATCCACGTTTTATATGGAGTAAAAATATCTTTCATGAAAAAGTTCATCTAAATTCGAGTCAAAGTGGAGTTGGAGACATTGACTCTTTGTGCATCATTAAATTGAGAAAAATATGAACAGATACTATATTGTAATTGAGTCAATAACACTAAAAAATACTTCGGTATATCTCTCAGCCCAAATAATAAGACAATTCTTCACCATTAATTTAAAAAATCAACATATCGTCGTCACTTAATTAAAAGTAATTATTAGAACAATTCAAACTCGAACCTCTATGAAAAAATCCATGTATTTTTATATGAACTTACAAGAAACACTCGATAAAAAATTGTCTATGTGGTTTGAGGCTTAGAGCGTTTGCACCGGTTTTGTGGTTTGAGTGTTCTCGCCAGTTTTTTTCTTTCACACGCGGGATAAAATAAATTTTTTACACGTGTCGAGTGGAAAAAGTAATGATACATTGATTGTGGATCTCATTGTGTGTGTGAGAGGTAAGGGGAAAAAAGAATTTCCTCACTAATTGGATGCAGGTAAATAAAAATTCACACCAAAAATGATGATATTGGACATTTAGATAAGAGAAAAAAATCACACCAAAAAATAACACTAAAACTTTTGCTGAAAAAAACTTATTTACAAGGCAAACATAACCATATTTCACATCATTTAAGCTTTTACTCTTACAAAGATTTCCAAACCAAACATAAAACTTCCATTCAAATCAAAGCAGTATCCAAGCTCCAAGCTTCTTTTTGCAGATTCTAGGCCTCCTCATATTGGAGATGTCTACAATGTTCAAAACACACAAAAACACAATTGTTATTGCAAAATATAGGCGATGATTTAACTTTTGCAGTCAAGCTTCATCAAATTTGATCGCTAATTATTAATAAATCGTAAAATCTTATAGACTTTTACCGTAAAAGTAAAAAAAAAAACGTTACCAGAAAGCTTACCAGAGTCGATGACTCTCAGCGCTGACGAAATAGCAAGTGAGCTATGGATCGATCCACGGGGTTTGTATCCGCCTCCATATCCACATACCCAACACACCTTCAATAACAAAAAAAAAAAGACGTCTCCATTAGTACACAAACTTTCCTCCCAAATCAGCCAAAAATGAACCAAATCTTTGAGTTATGGAGCATTGGAATACCCATTGTGTCAAAACAAACCTTTTAGTATTAGCTATCGAATCCCCACTTGCATCTCCATTGAGGTTAGGATGTCTGTTTCTCTGTTCAGCGCTTCGAGCCAGTCTGTACAAACTGTCCCTTATGCATAGCTTCGTCTTCAAATCAATCTAAACAAGACACGGGAAAAAATTTTGAACATGAAATCATTCTGAAGGGCTATAACCACAAGATTGAACTTTTGGATCAGTTGGTTTCTTGACAATGTGTATTATAAATGAAGAATGAAGTTGGAAGCTGGTAAACATAGTTAACACACCCCTTCCATGACATGTTGAAGTTGGCGAAAACTATTAGCTTCTTCTGAAGCATTTTCATTCACCCCTGAAGAGCAATCCAATTCCATTGGAGCTTTCATGCTCACTCCATCCATGTCAATTTGCTTCTTCTTCTTCTCTACCCTTCTTTCATCTGGAAAAGTGGGACCCACCAGGCAAGAAGGTCTCTGGGTGGGCGGCGGCACGCGAGAATTCTTTGGGTCCCACAGATTCCCCACGTAACAATTGCCGCCACCGGATTGGTCAGTCACGCCCGAATAGTTGATTGCATCCTCAGTCACTGAAATCATTTTCAGTGCAGTGGGTGAAAGGCATGAAGAAAAGTTAAAATCTGGCCTCGTTCGTTCTCCGCAACCTTCTTCAATGGCATCTAAAGATGAAAACCAACCTAAGTTTTCATCACCATAACTGGTCCCAAGCCCAAATGCAGTAGAATCACAACTTCTGCAAGACAATATCAAAAAGTCATTCCCTACATTTCTTAATAAGAACCTTCACTTTTCTTTCTTCGTGTGCGTACCTAAATAAACTTCACATTTTCAAAAAAAAAAAAAGGGTACCTGAACATCCTGTCAACATCATCAAAGTTCCCAAGCTCATCAGGCCAACCATAATCCAAGAAGAGATCACTAGAATGTTTCCCATCATCATAAGGATCATCTAAGAAACCGAGGTCATTTTCTGCCCGAGGAACCTGACCAAGTGATGAGTTCCCATCAACTCCCACCTTCTGGCCAACAAGGCGATGACCATTATTAGCACAAATGTCACTCCCAATGGACTCCGATGATATTTTTGAAGCTCTTTCCGCCGCGTGGTTGCCGAGTGAAGTTGGAAATTCCCACCCACCTGGCGCCTCGTGCCAATGTCCATTTTCCAGCATTTTCAACCTAGCTACTCTTATCTTCTTCTTCTTCTTCTTTGGTTTCCTTTGGCTCTGTAACAAATTCAGTCAAGAATATTTCTTGGAGTGGAAGGGATATTAGTTAAGGACTTTATCTGTAATGAATACTACAAGAAGATTAGTCATGGCCAAATGCCCAATTCAATTAATAAAAATTGTTCTCTTCCATTCCAAAAAAAAACTTTATAGTTCTCACAGAGAAATATGTGGTTGTTCTCTCTGGATCCGTTTCGTACACGGAATTGACGGAATTAAAATTGAATTGAAATTTTATGGAATTGAATTTGATGGAATTGAGTTCTCCAATTCCAGTTCATTTTTTGCACTGCTAGTTCCAAATTCATATATTTTTGTGCTACCAAACACCAGAATTAGAATTGAAGTCTCCAATTCCAATTTCACGACTTGAATTCAGAATACCAAACTGAGCCTAAACAAAATTGAATAGCAAATTTTAACAATTTTCTTACATTCTGCAAAGTCAAAGGGTGAATTTTTTCTGGTGAGGGAGGGAACAGATAAACTTGATAGCTTTGAACATATGTAGAATCGAAGATCGCGCCTAATTTCTAAACATATGTAGAATCGAAGATCGCGCCAAAAACTCACCGGAAAGAATGAAAAGCCGAAAACCACGGCGGCGGCGAACACCTAACGCCGCCAACGACAGCGCTGATTGGACGATGCTGGGAAACACAAATCTACGAGGTTTTAGACGACGGCGTGGGCTTTCTCTTTTTTTTTTTCTCCTTTCGACAAAACTTCGTGTTTTTATTTTGCGTGGTGGAGATGGGTCCCACGTGGCAGGCGATCGGAATTTTGTGGCGGCTGAGCGCTCTCCCCGGGGTGGGGATCACACAAACTAGTGGCTGAGAGTGCCGGTGGAGATACGATCTGTTTCCTTCTCCTCATTGGCCCACGTCGTCTCCGAATTGCCACGTGTCGTCCGCTCAGAGTGCGCTCTCATTTTGTTGTTTTTTTTTTATCATAGAAAAATCGAGAATAAGGCTCCAACAACCAACCAATTAAATCGCCCCTTTTAAATCCGGAAGGACCGGCTAAGATTGGGTGTTAAAATTTTTAAATATTCTTATAGTGTTATTTAATCATTTTTTAATATTCTTTTTCGAATATTCACTTTCCAAAAATGAACCAAACAAAAACAGACAATTTTCTGAATTCTAGTCAAACAACAGATAAAGAAAATTACTTCAAGAAAATAACTCGTTTTCCAGAAATCATTTTCTACAAGTCACTTCCCACGTATCCAAGCGAAGCCTTAGGAAATGTGTTATGAGACTCCACTTATGGCAACTATTAGACTTTTCCAATTTTAAATTAATTGTATTATCTTTGTATGGTCTCAAGGTCTATATTTAAAATATAGAACTTCTCATATTTTAATAAGTTTTATGTGAACGTTTTCTATTTTATAAAAGACTCACTTCTTTTATGCTACAGAAGCAATAAGGAACAATGGAACATGGACCTTAAGACTACGGAATAATTTCCCACACTAACTAAATTCGGGATGAACAAATTCTATCTCGCTACATATATGTTAGAATATAAGAAACATTTTTTGGGCCAGAACTACAAGCTTGAGCTTTTGGTTGAATTGGTTGCTTGACATGGTATCAGATCCTTGTTAACTAATAGATCACGGGTTTGAAACTCAGCGTCACCCAGTTTTAACAAAATTAAGGTTTCACGTGCAAGGCTCAAAAAAAACTACGTCGTGTTAGAATATAAGAAACATTTCCTGGGCCAGAACCACAAGCTTGAGCTTTTGGTTGAATTGGTTCCTTGACAATATTTTTTTTTAAATTTGAATATATAGTAAATATATTAATTAAATTTTCAACGTACGTGTTATACACACACAAGGAATATATAAAACATGGAAAAACGAGTAAGAGTAAGAAAATTGATTTGGGGATAGATTTAGGAATATTAATTGATAATGAAAATTAATCAAGCTTAGATTGTGTGAGTTTGATTTATATATATAATTGTATTTTAATACTCCGTATTAACTTTGGATAGTTGTGGATATCCAAAAAAATTAGTACTTTATTTTATATTCGATTGAGTTCTTTCGAATATACAATCCTAAATATGTGAAAGTTAAAAGGTCGAGTTGATGAATACTCATTTTTTAATCAGATAAAAGCTAAGAGGCCAGAATCATGGACAGTTTTGTCAAATCAAATATTTTTGAATCATAATATGGATAACAAATATAATTAAAAAAATAAACAACTAGCCAACCTATAAGGTACATGCAAATCATATGTTAATTAAACGAATCGGATATATTTCGAAATTGCATTTTTTTACCAATCAGACGTCTTTAATTGAATATAGATAATATCGATTTTAAATACTCCCTACGACTGGATTTAATATTTATATTTGATTTTTTTGTCAAAGTTTTAAACTTTAACCTTGATATGCAAAGAAACTATTCCCTCCGTCCTGCTATATTCGTCCACTTTTGACTTTTGGAACTGTTCATCTAAGCACTTTGACTCATCAAATTTTTTCAATGTGTAAGCCTAAATATAGTCATGTGTGATCTTGTTTGATTTGTCTTAACATATAAATTATTAATATATAATTTCTATAATTTTTTAATATACAAATTACAAGATAAAATGGATTAAAGAAGTGTATTGGATGGTGTGCAAAAATAAAAGTGGACAAATACTCTGGGACGGAGGTAGTATATTATGTTTCAATATAAATATAATATCAAAAGTTTCTTTTGACACATAGCTTAATTTTAAAATTTTAAAATGGTATAAATTATGTCTTTGTATAAATATCGATATTAATGATCAATATATTTTTTTTAGAGATCGTGAAGAATCAAACGAAAATATTAAATCTGGACATACAAGGGAAGTAGTTGTTTATAAATTTTGTAGAAACAAATACGGGTTCAGATTTTGTTTATCCATTTATAGTAGTCATATTCACATCTTTCAACACTCCGTTCTTTTAGGTTAGAAAAATAAAATTGGATGTTGAAAGAAATTGGAATGAGTTCGAAGAAACTACAAGAAGTTTTAAGAAATTAGAAGGAGTTGAAAAAAAACTAAAATGAATTGGAAGAATTTTGAATGAGTTGGAAAAAAAATGAAAGGAGTTGGAAGAAACCGGAAGGAGTTAGAAAAAACTAGAAAGAGTTGAAGGAAACTGAAAAAAGTTAGAAAAAAATTGAAAAAGTTTTTTAAAAATTTAAAATGTTTAAATAACTATTTTATTTTATTAATTTCATATTTTATTTAAAAAAAGTATACTCTACTTTTAAAAATTTTAAACTCTTCTTGTTTTCTTTAATCCTATTATATTTTATCTCAAACTGTATTTATAATTTTTTTATGACTCACAATCTTTTTTACTTTTTAAAATCAATATCAATCATATAATATTTAATTTTCTATCCGTATATTAATACTTCATGTAACAAAAACAAGAAGACAAATGAAGTAATACTTTTTTACTAATCTTAGTTGAAAGAAAAATTGGACTTAACTAATATAACGATGCCTTGACAAAACAACAATTTTACATCTATCACACTTTATATGTCAAAATAATTACAAAAAGCTCTGAGACTAATAAAGTTAAATTTACATTAGAAATTACTGATTTGACATGATTTACATACTTTAATTTTGCACAAAATGAATTATCAAATTCTCCCTCCGTCTCATTTGAATCTTTCTGGCCGCGTTACGATTTTTGACCAATTTTATCTTCAATTTAATTTATCTCATTATAGGTTTAAAACTAAAAAATAAAAATTATATATTTAAACACTTCATCAAATGACATACAAAACTAGATGTTACCCATTCTCTTTATTAAAACACTTTCTCTTTCATTTTTTTGATTTCCCTAAAATACTTCCGCTTTCTATTAAAAAACACTTTTACCCATGCTGTTTCTTACCCTACATATTATATCATACTTTTTCACTAGTAATCTACTCATTACATCTTACTTTTGCCCATCTCATCAAGAGTAAAATTAGAAAGTCACCACAAATATACATTCCGTATCAAAATAGGAACCATTTTATGAAACAGAATGAGTACATGATTATATTATTTTATCAAATGAGTACGAAAAATAAAAAAACAAAATAAATATAATTTGACCATATGAATAATATACACAAACATTCAACTGGAAAGTCTTTCTAATGGGTTAGAAAAGGACAGGACCGGCCCCAAAAAATGATAAAATAAAATTGACCCGGTCAAAAATTTACATTTTGGACCTTATTTTATTATTTTAGAATACTTATGCTTTAAAATTAATACAGAATTTAAAAATATGGGGCCATAAAATTTTAGGATCCCTGTGCAGTTGACCACTTTGCATACCATCCGGGCCACTCATGCAAAAGAAAAAAAAAGGATTAAATAAATCAGCTCGTACTAGAATCCGGTAAAGAAAATTAATTAGTAGTACAAAAAATGGAGTAATTAAATTGGCTCTAAATAGTTAATACACGCGTGAGTATAAAACGAGGGCCAAGAAGAGAGAGAGAGAGAGTAAGAGGCCGTTCCTTTTCTCAAGCTTTAATGGCGTGAGACCCTACCTGAGAGACTGCGAGTGTATATGTATATGTATGCATATGATATACGGAGTATGTATATATAAACATATATATGTACGCACACCGTATGACCGTATTCCGTATGTAATTCATTCATTCATTCATCTTTGCATGCTTCACCAACTCCTGATAAAGAAAACCCAGAACCCAAAACCAGCTGAAACAAACAAACCAATACATAACACCACGGACTAAATCGGTCACACCACACCCGCATTTCGCTCCGCCATTGTCGCTCTCGTCGTCCCGGGCTAGCTTTGGATGATCCGAAACCGAGACCCGCCACTCGGAATACGAACCGGTGATGATTGATTGATTGATTCCCGTCGGGGTATTAATTAATTAATCAATTTCCCTCACCGCATACATACTCGGATCAGCTGTGTTGTGTGTGTTGACACTGATGATTTGATTTGATTTGATTCGTTTCGATTCGATTTTTTGTTGTTGTTGTTGTGTGTTTGTGGAATAGATAGAATTGTTATTTGTTCGTGATTTGATTTGATTTGATTTGATCTGACTATGTTTGAGCGAGTGGAAACGAAGGGTGATGATGATGATGAGCTGGAGATGTTGCTGGATGAGATCCCTCACGCGACATGCTTCAACCATCATCATCATCATCCTCATAGCATCCGTGGCGTCGGATGTTATGAGTATGATCAAGACCTCGGGTCGAACGCGAGGAACAAAATGCAGGGCGGGAATCATTGGTATGATCACCACGCGTGTGTCTCCCCTGTCAGTGGATTCTCCTTGAAATCTGATGGATCCTCTTCCAGCTTCGTATCCGGCGGGTCTCCCACGCCATCCCCATTTGAAGAAGTCGTGAACTCCCAATTTCATTGCGGGATCTCTGGGGGTGTGAATAGGTTGTGGGTTGATCCCAATGAGAAAAGTTTCTGCGATCTGAATAATCTGTCAAGGAGTTTCAGTAGAATGTATGTTAATGAGGAGGAGGAGCAACAGAATCATTCGAATGGGAAATCTTCGCGGGTGATTTCTGACAAGTACTGGTCTTCTGGTGTGGGAGGCTTTGGATCATCTCTCATTCCAGTGACAAGAAATGATCATCTGGGTGTTATTGGCCAGGTGGCTTCTTCTCCAGTGGTGATTAATAACCAGGCCATTAGTACCACGGATTCGCAGTTTCATCGGATGAAAGTGGCAGCTCATCTCCATCAGATGGGGGTACCATTTGTAGACTCGCCGAGCAATGCTGTTACTAGCAATCGCTATCCGCGTGTAAATGGAAGGTATGCTACTCAAGATTCTTCCAACAATGCCCCTAAGGGGGCGCACATAAAGCCACATGTTGATTCGGAAAATATAAGAAGGTACAAGGGACGGCATTCATGTGGTGTCAAAATACCTGTGATGCGAAGCATTGAGGCGTTTGATCGGGAGGATGGCTTGATGAAGTATGGGAATGGAAATGGACACCGTCGTTCGGTTAGGCCTCAAGAAAGGAGATCATCACAGATAGAGAGTGGGGTGGACGAGAGGGTGCACCATCTCCCTTTCTCCCTCCCACTAAAGCTTTGCTCATTGGGAGAAGCGAAAGGGTATATTTATGAGATCGCTAAGGATCAACATGGTTGCCGGTTCTTGCAAAGAATGTTTGATGAGGGAAGTCGTCAAGACGTGAAGACAATATTCAACGAGATAATCGACCACGCTGTGGAGCTTATGATGAACCCTTTTGGGAATTACCTCATGCAAAAGCTCTTGGAGGTTTGCAATGAAGAGCAAAGGATGGAAATAATTCTCAGGGTGACACAAGAGCCTGGACAGATTGTCAGAATATCTTTGAACACTCATGGGTACTACATAATGTAGTTCATTAAATGAGTTTTCTTCTTCCCCTTTCATGTTGATTGATCACTAACATTAGTTTTAATTTACTCTTCTTTTTTTTTTGGGGGGGGGGGCTTCAGGACCAGAGTAGTTCAAAAGTTGATTGAGACATTGAAAACCCGGCAACAGATTTCGATGGTCATTTCCTCACTTGAACCAGGATTTCTTGCCCTTATTAAGGACCTGAATGGAAACCATGTTATTCAGAGATGTTTGCAGTATCTTACCATTGGAGACACTGAGGTAATCACATCAGAGCGGTTCTTTCAGTCGGTAAAAAAGTGTACAATGACAAATCTATTAACTCCCTATTCGTGTTTCTGGCTGATGCATTCCATGCTACTCTGTGTAGTTCATATTCAATGCAGCTGCAAAGTACTGCGTGGACATTGCAACACACCAACATGGCTGTTGTGTTCTTCAAAGATGCATTGCCCACGCGGTTGGAGAATATCGTGAAAGATTGATCGCAGAAATTTCTGCCAATGGACTTCTTCTAGCTCAAGATGCCTTTGGGTAAATGAAAACACATTATGGTTTTTTTGACACCGGTTTTATGACTCTGGGACATGGTACTCCATTGGGTACCGGGTGGTTCCGACCCCCTTAGTTTCGCTGATATGTTACATTAAACACTAGTATATATGCAAAACTACGGGGGCCAACAAAGCACTCTGTAAGATTATTTTTGTTCTCATTAGTCCTCATTTTCTTGCTTAAGTAAACTTTTTTTTTTAAATTTTTCCTGCTTGAGGGCAGAAACTATGTGGTTCAGTTCATTTTGGAGCTAAAGATACCATCTGCAACATCCAAGTTAATATCTCACTTTGAGGGCAACTTTGTACATCTCTCCACACAGAAGTTCAGCAGCCATGTGGTTGAGAAATGCCTCATTGTATGTGACTACAAGGTCCAATCAAAGATCATCCACGAACTCGTCTCCGCGCCACATTTTGAGCACCTTCTTCAGGACCCGCACGCGAACTATGTTGTTCAAACAGCTCTCCGAATTTCCGAGGTACAACTAACGATATTACCATTATACCCTTAACACTTCACTTGATTACTTTTTTCATGGTCCAACATTGTCACACTTGAATCAGGGCTGTCTACATAGTTTACTAGTCGAGGCGATCGATTCCCACAAAGCAGTCTCGCGAAACAGCCCATATTCAAAGAGGATTTTCTCAAACAAAATTTGGAAGAAGTGATGTGTAAATGGTAAAGAGAGAGATTTGAAGGTGTTCATCTCATGATGTGTTCTAATCACATGCCAATAACTGATCTGCAATTTTGTTTTTACCTCTCCATTGCAATTTTTTCCCACTTGGATTTATTCATTTTTCACCCCCTAGAGTTGCCTAATGAAAGGCAAGAAATGTTGTTTCATGTTTGTCAAAAAAATGTACTGTGCAATGTATTCATGTTTTGTTGTTATGAAGTACTCCCTCCATTTCGAAATAAAATCATTTGTTCTGTACAACTCTTGATGTATTTTTAAATACTCCGTATTGACCAAATGTAATTTTCAATTTCAAATTCTGCATCAAACTTTAAATATATTAAATTAAAAATAATTTCAATCAAACACAAGAGATTACAAGTGGGTTATGGGGATACTTATACCAATGCTACAATCATTAAACAGACAATGGTCAAAGGACTACAATTGACTTCTCGTTTTTCCTTGCTCTTCCTTCCATTATGCTTGTTGTCAATACTTTTGAGTGTTTGTTACTCACTTACTCCCTCCGTCATAAAATGTAAGCAACATTTCAAATGATGTGCGAAATATTATTTATTTTAAAATCATTTTATTTATAAATTGGTAGAGAAATAAAAAATAAAAATTACACTGTTCAACAATAGATCAAAAGTTTTACGAAACAAGATGCGACAAGAATATTTTATTAAATGGTAACCAGAACGAGTAAACAAATAAAAGTTATTGAGAGATCGAAATAGTAATTGTTGGTTACATTTTAGTACATAGGGAGTATTATATTTTATCATTATTTGTTATTGTAAATCATGTTTTGGTATAACATCAATACTTATAAAAAATAAAGTTGTGGAGTACACCGTATAAAAATTTAAGGTGATAAGGAAAAGTAAACAACTAGAAGTAACAACAATAATAAATAAAAGTATACAAATTAATAATGTGAAGCAACACACTTCCATATCACAATAATCGTCCCAAAATAATTGCCTCAATTAATTTTTTTCTGTTTGTTGATTATTTGGTAAATAAAATATTTGTATCACAGTTTTTAAACTTCTGGGGTAGTTCTGAAATGTGTAACTTATATAGAATATTTGTTATTCATTTATATATCAATATGTAACAAAAATGAAAATTTGCACATTCCTCGAATTAAAAAAAATTCTGAATTTTTTTTAAAAAAATTGCGATGTAAAGATGAGGTTGATGAAAAAACTAAAACACACTCTCTCTAAAACTCACATTTGCCAAAACGATTTTACAACAAATTATTTTTTGTCATCTCAAGAACCCAAGACTGACATGCAATCATTTTTTCTTAAAAAACAATCCTTTAAAACTTTGTACCAAAAACTTCAAAAACAATTCTTTAAGACTTTTGTACTAAAAGCAAAATAATAAAATAAAAGTCCTCCATGGCTTAGTGTTTGGCACCCCTAAATCCAAACACACCTTGAAGGCCATGTCCCATGTGTCTTGAGGTGAGGACACGATTTGTAGGGACAACACTCACTACTTTTTTTCTTTCTTTCTTTACAACTAAAAAAAAGAAAGAAAGAAAAAAAGGAAAGAAAAAAGAAGGCCCTGTTTGGCATCAGCATTAGAAATTTGAAAAGGATATCCGACGGTGGCTTTCAACGTTAGTGTTTTTTAAAATTAATCAACACCATTAGCGTTAGAGACTAGGGTTAGCAATTTAAAAAGACTATTCAATAATAACTTTTAACATTAACATTTTTCAAAATTAATCTAAACCATTAAAACTTTATTCAAAATCTTACTACTAATAAAAAATATTTTTCCCAAAACAAGGCCTTACTCTACTCACTCTTTTCTCTTCTGATTCAGGAAACCTCTCAAACAAAAGAGGAAAGAAAGCGCTGTCCAATTCAACCTCAACTCCATCGCATTCACACTCATCATCCCTTCTTCTACGTCGTCTTTATTATCCTTCCGCCATCTCCACTAACGCGCGCTACTGCTCCGCTTTCCCCGGCCCCAGAGGATTCCGTTGGTGTCCGGATCAAGATCGTCGTCCATGGCGGAAAGCGGATCGGATCCTCCAGGTTTCCGATTAGGTAATTTTGCGCTTCTCTTCTTCGAGCGGTGGATTTTCAGTGTTGGGAGAGCTGCTGATTTGAGTCTGTTCCTTCGTGTTTCGTCTGCGTAACTAACTGTGTGGCGGAGTGAATCTGGCTGAATGTGATGATGGAGGGTTGTGTTTTTTTTCGCGTTGTCTAAAGCGTTTCCCTGAGCTCTAGTGCTTCGTCAATGGATTTTGGGTTGAGGTTTCGAAAAACAAATCACATTTCTAGTAAAAAACCTGCACTAGGGTTTTGGCAAATGACCATTTTAGGGTTTCGAAAAAACAAACCACTATCTTGGCTTAAGATAAGAATACACTTGTCAAATGGCTTTGCTAGTTTCTTGTAGTTTTTATTTTTGTGAAAAATAAATTCAAGTTCAGGCTCGAGGAAGAAACTAGCACTACTCCTCAAGTAATGAGCACCGAAATCCCCACTCAACTTACGCCTATTAAAGGAAAAGATATTACTCGTATATGTTTGCTGCACTTGCACAGGCAATAGGTTGCTATGGTTTTATGAGTTATTAAAGACAATACCACTTATTTACCAGCTTTCAATTTTTTGCATTGATTTCCGCTGGTTTTTTTGCAGTATGGCATTCATCAATTCTGATTTGTTATTTTTAACCTATTGGACAAAGTGGGATACATGTTTGTGATTGAATTATTCAGTAATTTTTCAATCGTATTTTGGTTTTCGAGATTGCGAGGAGTGAAATTAATATTAACTAGATAAAATATCCGAATATGATGAAAAAAACATTTCCTCTAACTAGCCATTTAAAACATGGAAGTCTTGACAATTTGTCCTCAACCTTTCACTTGGTCCTCCTGAGGTAGTCCTATTCTACTTTTTGAGGATATTAAATGTGAAATGAAGATTGAGTTGCAGTTATTCAAATGGCAGATTCATCAATGATAAGTAATGTGAATCCTACGTGTTCTTCCTACTAGAAAAGCTAATTTTTAGAAAAAATTTAAATTAATGCTAGATCAAATTACAATACATTTTATTGCACACAACTCACTAGACTTATGATACTTTTCGGATTATGCTTGAAGAAATGGAGCACATTTTTAGTTTTTTAAGATCCCTGCTTTATAGTTTTATTGCTTTCCCATGCCTGATATGAACCAAATCAAGTTGTGAAACATTAAGAACCTGCTTTTACTTCTTAAGATGTGATCCTGAGATTTTTTTTCCTTCGTAGCTTCTATTTGATGGTTTCCCCTTTTGAATGCTTCTCTGGCGCTACAATTCGAATGTGTGTGAGCTTTGGCAGAATAATTGTGGCCTTTGAGGCTATGAACATACTAGGGTTCATGATTAGATTAAACAAAGATAACACGAATGCCATCATGTTCCTCAATGTCAATATGTTCACCATGCTTCACAGAGCACACATGCTTTAATGCCTCGTTAATAGGCCTAAATATTTTATTGCTTGGTTTAGTAATGTAAATCTGTATAATTTTAAAATGATGCTCAATGTGCAGATATCAAACAGATATTACTAGAAGCACATCATAGGTGGCTGAGGCCTGCTGAAATTTGTGAAATTTTGCGGAACTACCGAAAATTTCACATTACACCAGAACCACTTTATAAGCCAGTCAGTATGTCTTCATTTTTTCTCCACTTAATTTATTCTCTGATACACATCTTCTTGTGTATTTTAAGGCACTTCATTTCATCGTGGTTACAATATGAATGTCTACAAGTGTGGGCATCTTCCTTCCCCATGTTTATTTGGGTGACATATTGCTTTGTCTCTATGCATCTTATTTCAGGCGGTTCTGTTTTCCTATTTGATCGGAAAGTACTTAGATATTTTCGGAAAGATGGTCATAATTGGCGGAAGAAAAAGGATGGAAAGACTGTGAAGGAAGCTCATGAGAAGCTGAAGGCAAGAATTGTTACCAGGATTCTTTTTTTCCTTTGGCATTTCCTTTAAAGGTTTCCTCAAAAAAGGATTATGTTCTCCAAGGACTACTTAATTTTGTTGAAATTTAATTTTTATGGCACCACAGTCTTTCCTATCGAAGTAGTGTCTGAGAAAACTATTCCCCAATCTCCGTGTTAAATGTTAGCATTATATCTGTTCAGGTTGGAAGTATTGACATGCTACACTGCTATTATGCACATGGTGAAGAAAATGAAAGTTTTCAACGGCGTAGCTATTGGATGCTTGAACAGTGAGTACGGGCCACATAGATGTGTCAATTCTTTTCTCTTTTGAACTTCTCATGTCCTTTTGTTTAGGATTGAATTGATTAGAATTTAGAAAGTTAAGTTCAGAATGATTTGAACTGGACTTCCCCTGTATTGCACATTTGCACCGATTACGTTGCAAACAAAGAACCATTTTCCCTAGCTTAAGATCTTTGCTGTTTCTTTTCGTAATGCTTCAGCGATTGAAATGTAGTTCACAGGAGTTCATTATAAGTTTTAATGCTGCAGGGATCTCATGCACATGGTTTTTGTGCACTACTTGGAGGTTAAGGTGAGATTCCATCATTTCTTAGATTGCATCTGTTTTCACCCCCCTTTGCTGGCTATTTAATTTAGTCCCCCCACCAGTCCACCCCCACACAATTGTTTATCCTTAATTTATTAAAATTTGTTTGTTTGTTTCCAGGGTAGTAAGGCAGTGAGAAGTATTAAGCCAACTGAATCAAATTCTGTGGATGAAAGCTCATTGTCCGTCAGTTCTGCTGGAAATTGCTCAAAATTAAGTACTACATCTGCTGATTCGCCTAGTCCAACAAGTACTCTTTCAACAGCATATGAAGATGTTGAATCTGGTATATGTTAATGTTATTTGCTATTATGTAAATGGAATACATTAGGTTCCCTATAGTTATGTACATTGTACACATTACTTTGATGAATTTAGTTGACTATCATGCCTTGTACTGATGTTGGTGAAGCTTATTATTAATTCTTTTATTCCCTCTTGCATGTGTAATCATTTCCCGAGATAGCCGCTATATCAGGCAATTATTCAGTGGAAAATTTGCATGCAGTTCTGCCTCAGTATTCTGGTACTTTCACCAATCTCTGTATCCATGTTAAAGTGCTGTAGTGTGTGTGTGTACTTATATACACCTATCATCTTAAATACTTTATTTGCTATAGTAAAGGTGCTTGTTTTATTCCTGCAGCAGAGTCTCAGCAAGTAGCTGATTTTGCTTCTTGGGAAGATTTTTTAGAGAGCTGTACAAAGGGTACTAAAACTTTATATTCTGCTGTCAACTGCATATATAGCATTTAGATTACATGTATGACCAGTGAAATTAACACTTGAGTGAATGTCTTGCAGGTGATATTTCTTTCAATGAGGATCCCACCATTCCTACTTCGGCCCAGACAAATTTGCAGGTACTCGACTTTGATCTATCTTGACCTCATTCTTACTATGCTATCGATTACCTATATACTCCCTCCGTCCCAAAATAAAATTTGGTGCTTGACTTCACGGAGTTTAAGAAAAGTGTTGAAAAGTAAAAGGTGGTGGTCTGTCACATATTTCACTCCTAAATAGGAAAAAAGGAGAATTGTGAAGTTTTTTTGGACGGAAGGAGTATTTTTATATTTATGCGACTTAGCTGATATAGGGTGCAGAGGCACAAAAAATTGCAGAATTCTTTTTGGACAGAGAAAATAAAGATAATAAAAAGAGTATCAATGGAAGTTCTCTAAGAGCTGAAGGACCTCTTTAGCAGGATGCTATCACCCCTCAGCAAAGCTGACTTTTTCTTGAAATTCAGAACTAATGCCTCCTACTTGGGTCCTTCTTTATAGTGTAGTACCAATGTACCATTGTACTTTCTCCGTTTTTAAATAATTGCAACATCAAGATTCTCATGTTTGCCAATACACAAATTAAATCATTGATGTATTCAATTGTGTTTTAGTAAAAAATATAGAAGGTTAATATTAAGAAAGTTTACATCGAGGCAAAATCTAACAAGATCCCTCATGACTAATTGTTTCCTCATGTATATATCCCAATTCACAAAAGATAATCAAATGAGTTTATGAATAGTGTAGTATAAAATACTAGATATAAGAATATAAAATAAGAAAAATAATACTCCGTAATTTTTTGGATCAATTGATGGACACTAATCAATTATCATTGATGATTGGTTCCCATGATTTTCCTTCCATTTTGGTTACTGTCATTATCCATTTGATTTTGGAAATTAAAGAGTACCACCATTTACTTTCTTCAGTGTAACTCTGAGGACATTGCATTGCATTATCACGGGCAGCATATCCAGCAAATTGCCACATCAGATTCCAGTTATGCTATGGAAAGGGTGCCCATAAATAAATATCTCCCAGAATATTTCTGCAACTCTACTGGACCATTAAACATGTGTCTCAATGAAACAGCAGAGCTACTAATACCGTTGAGTAGTCAATACAATTCTAGTTCTGATAATAATGGGCAAATATTTGGGAATGAAGAGTATTGTATAAAGAATCATCCACTATTGAATGGTTCTGGTGTAAAAGAAGGATTAATTAAAGTGGACAGCTTCTCCCGATGGGTTTCTAAAGAACTTGGAGATGTCGAGGAGCTGCAAATGTGTTCCAGCAATCGGTTTTCATGGGCATCTATAGAGACTGAGCATAGTAATTCCTGTATACTGGGCTCCGATTCACTGAACCCCTCACTATCTCAAGAACAACTTTTCAGCATCATAGATTTTTCACCAGCTTGGGCTTATTCCAACATAGAAACCAAGGTGCATTTTGAATTTCTCCACAAAGGGTGATGGTTGAATAATACTTATTCTGCCGTTTTCTCACCTAAGGGTGATGATTGAATAATACTTTTTCTACCGATTTCTCACCTCAAATTTCTATTGTTTTCTATGATGTTGAAGCAGGTGCTAATTACAGGAAAATTTCTTAATGGTGGAAAAGAAGTGGAAGAATGCAAGTGGTCATGCATGTTTGGAGAAGTTGAGGTCCCAGTTGAAGTTTTGTCAAACGGACTACTTTGTTGTTATAGTCCTCCTCACAGGGCTGGGACAGTTCCAATTTACATAACTTGTTCGAACAGGTTGGCGTGCAGTGAAGTAAGAGAATTTGAATACCGAGGTGAACTTTGTAGAGACACTGATACTGTTGATACTCATATGATGGGGATGCCTCTCCACAAGCGCTTTGAATGTCTACTGTGTCTGGGTCCTGCCATCAACCATTGCAGCTCATATGATATTATGGAGAAACAAACTATGTTAAATAAACTCATGCTTTTGATGGAAGAGGAAAAACTTTGTATGGTAGATGTTAGGGACCTTTGTGAGCCCAAAGAGAGGGAATTAGCACTTCCCGAAAAAGAGCTGAAAGAAAGATTCTACACATGGCTTCTTCACAAAATTACTGAAGATGGGAAAGGACCTGCTGTGATGGATGAAGGAGGTCAAGGTGTAATCCATTTGGCCGCTGCACTTGGATATAATTGGGCATTGAATCCAATTATTATATCAGGAGTTAGTATAGATTTCCGTGATGTTAATGGATGGACTCCACTTCATTGGGCAGCATTCTACGGCAGGTAAGTCCAATGGAGTTTCACATACTTGTATTTTGTACTTTAGCTAATGTTGAATGTGGTGTGTTATTTTCCATTAAACATTTTCATTGTTGTCAACCTTGGAAAGAACTTCTTTGAAAACAAAGACCAGGCTGAATCAAGCTTTCCCCCCCCCCCCCCCAAACAATTTGTGATGTGCACTGGATAGTGGATACGACATCTACTCTGTCCCAATTTGTGTGTCAAAGTTACTTACAGTTCATTGGTCATCGTCACAGGGTCAAACTAATTTTTTTCTTACCCATTTTCTTTATTTTTTTAAATCAAACATTCATGCCATTCACTAGTTTTATAAAACTATTTATGTTGTTTTTAAAGATGCCCCTCCGTCATGTGGTGTTTGTCTCATTTTGTAAAAAAGCTAAAAGGTCAAAAGTAGTGGGGCGGAGTCAGGAGGAAATGCTAAATTTCACGTTACAAAAGTTGATCCACAAACATCTGGAATTTTGCCTCTTTGCAGGGTAGGACACGTAAAATGGAATGGAGGGAGTCATAATTTTAACGTATATACTATCTATTATAAAACTCGGTATTTGTAATGAAATCTTTGGGGGTTTTTTTTTTGGACTTCGTCTATAAAACCTTGTTTGTTTTTTTATTACAGGGAACAGATGGTTGCGGCTCTTGTTTCTATGGGTGCATGGGCTGGAGCATTAACAGACCCTTGTGCTGAGTTTCCGTGGGGTAGAACTCCTGCAGATTTGGCGTCCGCCAATGGCCACAAGGGAATATCTGGTTTTCTAGCAGAGTCCTCCCTGACCACACATCTTGCTACTCTTAGTGTAATTGATGCCAAGGAAAACTATGCTTCAGAAGCAAAAGAGGTGCAAACCTTTTCAACAATTAATAGTGCACAGGATGTCCCACTGAAGGATTCACTTGCTGCGGTACGGAATGCTACTCAGGCAGCTGCTCGTATACATCAAATTTTCAGGGTTCAGTCCTTTCAGAGGAAACAGCTGCTGGTGCAATGTGGTGATGAGTTTTCAAGTGACGAGCAAGCTATTTCAGTTGTTGCTTCAAGAACATCAAGGCTGGGGCAAAGTGATCGGATTTCCCATGCTGCTGCAACACAAATCCAGAAAAAGTATCGGGGTTGGAAGAAGAGAAAAGAGTTCCTCTTAATTCGTCAAAGGGTTGTTAAAATTCAGGTGCATTTTGCTTTCTACCCATTCTGGTTTTATTTGAAAATATACTATTGACTATCACATTCACGATCATATTCAACCATGGGTGAAACGTTTATTGACAATCAATGCCCCTCGCTTACTCTTGTTTTCACCGGAGTGATTGATGATAGTGTATGTTTAGCACGACAAGCTGAAAAGTTACTTGTTGAACTAATTGGTGGTTGCTTAGTTGCTGAAAAGTTCATAGATGATAAAGGTTGTAGTTTGTTAAAAGCTTGCTTGTTTAACACACTAAGTGCTTTTGCACAAAAGTTCATAGGTTTTGGGCTTGTTAATTTAGGGAAGAAGGGCTTGCTTGCTCGCCAGACGGCTCCATGTAGTGCTGTCCAGCAAAGCTGAAGCTTCTAACTTATGTGTGCCAGCCAACCAAGCCCCATGTAGTTTGTTTTTTGTGTTGAAATGCAATTTATATACTCACTGATGGCTTTGAATGCTCACTTATCCATTGATGTGTTTAAGGCTCATGTGAGGGGGCATCAAGCGAGGAAAAAATATAAGCCGATAATATGGTCTGTTGGAATTCTGGAGAAGGTAATATTGCGTTGGAGGCGTAAAGGAAGTGGATTGAGGGGGTTCAAATCTGATGCAGTTGCAAAGCCCATAATCGAAGACACAGTGGCATCATCATCTGTGGAAGATAATGATTATGATTTTCTCAAGGAGGGGAGGAAACAAACAGAAGAAAGAATGCAAAAGGCCCTTGCTCGCGTTAAATCTATGGCTCAATATCCCGAGGCACGTGCACAATATCATAGGATGCTTACTACTGCTGAAGGGTTCCGTGAAACAAAGGTACTTTTCGTTTAGTTTCTTTAAATATTTAGGGTGTGTTTGGAAAATGGTTTTTTGGCTGGCTTTTGGCCTCTTTGATTGACTTTGGCAAATGGCTTTTTCATTTAGCTGATTGGTTCAAAAAGCCTAAATCTGAAAAGCCAAGGGAGTATCTTTCAGACTTGGCTGTTAGGAAAATTAATTACCGGGGGGG